CTCTTTCCCAGTTCTAACTCCACCCCATTTGCCTGCAGTTGTGCATTTACAGATGTGAATGAATTCATATTTATGCTTGGGGACACGGCTAGATTGTTGACTCCTTATTCAAACACATTAAAAAAGGCAGAGTTTTTTATCTATCATAAGGAAAATGTATAGATAAGTGCACATCTCCTGTTTTGTTCAACATAGATGGCTTTTTGTTTTGTGCATCCTGATTCTTTTGTAGCTCCTGGTTAAAAGAGTATTTTCATCTTTTGATTTACAAAATTAGGCTTGATTCTCCCCTGCATTGCCACATTTTGTGATCATTTATACTGAAACAAAGAATTACATTAGAGTTACACCCACTTCATACTTCACAAGTTGCACAGTAATGGAGAATGAGTCTCTAACTTCCAAATCCTCACAATTATTTACAAAAAAAAGGGAGGAGGTGGAATTTGTTCATGTACTGGGACTAATGTTGCCTACAGTTACTGGTGCATGTCATCATTAAGGCCCAAAGTTAGCTTACTAAACAAATGAAAGATCCCTGATTGTAAAGGGTATGCCTAAATCTGTCCTCAGAGTTCCATGTTCCAGAGGTTCTCAGGCAGGGGCAGGCAATTATTTTGGGCAGAGGACCACTTACTGAGTTTTGGCAAGTCATTGAGGGCCACATGACAGGCAGGCAGATAAATATTAATTTTCTAAATTTTTTAGGGGCCCCACGGGCTGGCTAGAACGGCCCGGTGGGCTACATACGGCCCCTGGGCTGCATTTTACCCACCCCTGTTCTAGGGTTTGTAACTGCTTGCGTGCAGGTTCTGATCTGGATCTACTGCAGTCTTCAGTAAACTTTATGTTGACTTTGTGGTGTAGACTCATACCTTAAAGAAGCCGCACCAGACTTCAGTTCTTGACTGAATAAAGATATTCACAAAAACAAATATAGCTGGAGTTGCATCATACTCTGTACTTTTCCTTCCATAAAAGGCTACTGTAACTGTAAATGTCCTGTTTTTTATCCTTATCTGCTTTTTAACCTGTCCAGCTCTCGGGTGTTGATGAAACGTGGACAGTTCAGCGTAACAGACAGAGAAGATGCAAACAGAAAAATGATGGCCTATGGCATGCAAATGTAGTGCTTTCTCTGCTCTTCCAAGTAAATCTCTGCTTTTGTCAAATTTTACAAGCAAAGCTCTTTAGCTGTAACTTGCCTTTTAATCCAGTTTGGTTTTGGACTTGAATTTATCTCAAAATAATTTTAATGAGAAGAGCTCAGCCAATGCTACTTCCTGCACATAATCATTTTTATCTGTGCTTTAGAATTTGCAAAGATGAAAATTCATTTAAGAAATAATCCTTATCAAACTGTCTAAGGAATGGTATTTCTTTATATTTAGTAATAATTCTTTTGCAGAAAATGATAAAATTAGCCTGAATCTTTTCTTCAATCTCGGAGTGCTTAAAGGCCACTTCCTTCAGTGCTGCTGAAGGAAAAGGCTTTGTGTACTGTTTTGTTTTTACCTTGAAAGTTATGTTTGTATGGCTTTATGTGTGTGTTGATTCAGAAAGCTCGTGCTGTTGAATTAGATAAGCTTGAATAGAAACATATTGGGACACTAGTAATTCAGGATATTACTTTTGAACAGGCAAAGGAGCTTTTATTAAAGAAAGGAGATAGAAGTGTTGTGCCATAGCTTTCAAAATGTTGTTCTTGGCTTCAAAGAGAAATACATTTATCTGGCTGGCTACAAGATGAGACTGAACTTACAATGACAAGTGTGACGACAAATCATCATGCTGGTTGCTCTGGCTCAAGCCAGACACTCAACTCTTTTTTCTGCAGAGATTCTTGTACTACTGGGATGCATAACATACAGCTAATATCATGTTTTTATGTTCCAGGACAACAGAAGTCTGCAAGCAATTATTCCAGTACCTGCAGGGAATTCCTTCATACCTGTGCAGTTTTGCAGGTGATCCAAAATCAGCAGAGCTTCTGGAAGGATTTTCTCTTCCAGCATTTTCTATAGTATTGCATTTATTTAATCCTCAAGATTTTTACAGAATTGTGCTTATTCTGGTATCAGATGCATACATCACATAATCATTATAGTGAACGTGGGTCAAATTCTTATACCTCTTACTCTGGAATAAGCCCATCAAATGAATGGATCTAGGAGAAGAATATAAGGTTCTACTCAAGAGGATAAGAGTTGCAGAGGTGTTTCTGACCCTGCTTCTAATAAGCATTTAAAAAAGAATCTGTCTGAAATTTCACATGAATGTGTTCACTGTCTGATCTCAGGCTAGCAAACTGGACTTAAGTAAAGATGGTGGTTTTCCCTCTTAGAAACTGTGGTAGCTTATTAACAAACGTACACACTTGCTTTCCTTACAATCCTACAGTGAGAATTAGCACAGAGGTGTATATTTGCCATCCTGGAGCCCTTTACCTTTTAAGATTAAACTTAAATTTTACATTCCATGTTGAATAAGGGCAATAAGGGGCTATACCATCCTAGGAGCAAATTGGAGAGTAAATGGCTACGGAGACGCAATGTATTCATTGCTTTCCCCTGGGGAGTAATTCCTTTTTTAGTAACTAATTGCCAAATACTAATATTAAACTAAGCCCGCTGGGGGACGGGGGGACTACCACCACTGCTGGCCCGCTGAGCAATCCTTGCAAAGCCAGCGGGTCAAGGCACTTAAGGGAGCCCACCCCTGCCCCAGCCCTGGTAAAATCTGTGTGCAAGGAAGGAGCCCCCCAGGGGACACTTGCCTGCCTGTACACAAATGCGAGGAGCTTGGGGAATAAGCAGGAGGAGCTCATCCTCCTGCTCAGTGCAAATAATTATGATGTCATAGGGATAATGGAGAGCTGGTGGGACTCCACCCATGACTGGACCACAGGTATAGATGGCTATACCCTGTACAGGAGGGATCGTGTAGATAAAAGGGGCGGGGGGGTAGCTCTCTATGTTAAGGAAAGCTACACGTCCCTGCAAGCC